TTTTTTGTATTAAGGTTTTAATCACCTTTAAATGTTGCTACATTAGTGATTTCAATATTTCCCCTCTCCAGATTGAGAGCTCTGAGAGGCAAACTTCTACATAGACAATTAAAGATCTTTTTATTGACTGTATTACGCAAGCTGAGCTGTGTAAAGACAGCCTGAGTGTTAATAGCTTTTTGTGTAATCAGTGGTTTTGGATGAGAAGTGAAGATCCATTCGGCTGCAGGGAGAGAATTTGTTCCCTGCAGCCGCCTCAGGAGATCGTATCAGCCCCGTCTCCACAGAGCGGTCGTGATAACAGGTGCAACAGCAGCGCACAGGCAGGGTTTTATTCTGATCATGGGCGTGTATCCCCCTGCCAATGTGCTAAATCTACCCGCCGGGTCTCTTGAAGTCATACTTTGATTCCTAAACAATTCCTGTGGTTTAAAAAGTAGCTGGACCTCCATCGACCCCATTGACTGCAGCGCTGAATCGTTTCACAAGCCAAGGATAAAAGGTTGGGAAGGTGTCGCTGTTTTCCTTTGGCCGTCCCCCGGTGTCGAGCATAAATATGTGGAAGTGGCGATGGGAAAATAGCATAACCGGTCATGAATCACTGAGAACAATGTTCATTTTTCACAGTCTAAATCTGATCCTGAGTTCAGTTATTCTGGTGTGTTAGGCTCTTATGTTTTAGTCTTTAATTAATGCAATAAAATTATTCGATTATTTCAAATGCTTCTTTATTTTCAACAAACTTAATTTAGAAATGAGAACATCTTTTCTATGTTGGGTATTAGATGGGGAATCCAAACATCATCCGTGTTTCATATATATTGGTTATAAACCCAAGTTTTCATTGATTTATTTGATAAAATCACTTTTGTTATTGTTAGTTTTTTAAACAGAAATTTGGTGCAAAAGTTGGAATTTATTGGGGATTTCTTCCAATTCACACAGTCACAATTCTATATTGTCACCTTTCTAAAATAAAGGTCCAAGTCACTATTTGCCAAAAGTGATATTGGCAAAAAAAAAAAAAAAAAACAGGGAGGAATGTGCCAATATTGAATTTCAAATACACTTAAATTGTCATAATATGTGATTAATGCCCTGTACACACGTAGCTGGGAATATATCTCCACCACTTTGTTTAACAAGATAATATCATAAACACAGGATCGCTTTCAGAAAAGTTTTCATCCACATGAACCCACACAAATCCGCCTGAGTGTTGTGCGCTACATTGCCCCCAGACCATCGGGGGCAATGTAGTGCACAGCTGAAACCTATGTCAGCCTATCAGATTATTTCAAAACAACCACAACTTGAGAAATAACCAATCAGAGCCAGGAGGATCTTAGTACTGTGAATCAACCTTGTGTATGGGCCGCTCACACCTTCCATCTTTGCTCTCTGCTATGCTACAGCTCCTCCCCCACTGCAGACCCTACAGTGATTGCTAAGGCTAGTTAGCATGACCACGGTGATGGCGGAAAAATTGTTTTCCTGGAACGGTCAGTGGTTTCTCTGCCACTAGCACATTGAGCAGGGCACGACCCTGATGGGCAGCGCCTCCTGCCAATCAGGCTCATCTCTGATTGGCTATTTCTGATAATCAGTTATGCATTTCTGCTAATGGCAATAGCAGCTCAGGGAGGAGTTGGAAGAGCTCGATCTTTTCACAGATTATCTGTCTCATACTGTTAAAACATAGTTTAAACAGATGTGTAAAAAACCAACACTTTTTACTAAAAGTTACGTGCTGCAGCTTGAAGTTTCTTTTATATCTTAGAATAACAGTGGGTAAGAGCATCACTAAAAGCCACTGAGTGACATTAATGTAACAGGTTTGTTCTCTGTTCATTAACTAACAAACTAAATGACTTTCCAGCTGAAGCAGCAGAAGTCATAAACTGCTCCTGAGGGGGTGGATCGCTTCTTTCATGTTTCTGAGTTGTATTCTCCTGGATCTGCTGCCCACTCATTCCTGTCCTCTCTTTTCTCTCTCTCTCCTGTTAGTGTTAGAGCGATGTTACCCGAAAGAGGTGCAGGAGCTGTATGAGGTCATGAGGCGGTTTGCCAGAGTGGTCGGACCGACTGAACATGACAAATTCATCGAAAGTCACGCACGTCAGTATTTGCACCTGACCCATTCACCTGTGAGCATGCAGAGTTTATTCACCAAGATCGAGCCAGACTGAGTAAACCTGGCTTTCAGATTTTCACTCTGAAAAGATGTAACTTTTAATCCTGGTGGGAAGATGAAGTGACATTACCACTTTCTGTTTTTAGAAAGTGTGTAGATATTTTCTTATTTTATTTAATCTTTTGAAATGTTTTTTCTTTAAGTTTTTATTTGGATTTTACGAGATTAAAATGTATTTAGAAGATGCACATTTCTATACCTCTTGCCCCAGATATCGCACTTCAGGACGTCATCTCACTCTTATTCGTTCACAGTGAACCCAACCAGGGATGATTTGGTGTTGCCTGAACACACACCTGCTTTTTGGAGGCATGTTTACGTTCAGTAATGGAAGGCATGACATGTAACACATCAGCGACTGTGTCTGGTGTGGCATGATCTGCCATTCCTGTTCCAGCTTTGACACACAGTGTTAGCTCTCACCCTGAGAGGAAAGGGCAAATACCTTCTATAAATCTAAAACTAATGGTGTTCTCACCATTGAAATGAGTCCTGTACCGACACGGGCTGAAAGGCCACTAATACAGGAAGAAGCCATTTATCGGAAGCCAACTTAGAAACTCAGGTTCCCCAGAAAAGCTGCTATGTTTGGTGGTAGGAATGCTAGGTTTATAAGAAACTATTTAAAATAAACAGACAACATGTAGCCTGGTGCCCGCCAGGCTTAGAATACTAATATTCCTTATATTTCCTTGGTTTCTGGAGGCATGTGCAGAGGTATGATGACAATTGGAGTGCTTGGCAAGCATTTTTGTTGTTTGTTCCTCTAGCTGTGTTTCCATTAGCCACATAATTGCACAGTTTGACAGTAAGAAAATAAATTCATTTAATGGAAATACAGCAATTTTGAAAAAAACTAATTTCTCTATAAAACGTTTTGGTGCCAGGATGAGGTGTTTTTTAGCCATATCAAAATTGCTTTATTTCACAAAACTCCGATGGAAACACTTTTTTGGATCACATGAGTCATGTGATCAACAACCAGGTGTTGCCTCTGGCACAAACCGCAAAGAAGACGACAACAGGAAGTAGTTGGAGGATGATGGTGTGGGTTGTTTTACTGACTTATCATGTGAACCAGTTTATTCACGTGTGATTTTTTTTAAACTGTTTCTTATTTAATGAAAACACAGCGATTGAAAATTTTTTGTCATTTTAACTTTATCTGAATATCGTCATAGTTTTGTGCACATTTGTAATGAAGACTCAGCTTCTGTCTGTAGCACCACAGTCCTGATGATAATCACTTCGTTTTACTTCATACTTTTATCTTTTTTTTATTGTTGAAGAGAAAATAAAATCCGTCTTGACTTGAACTTGTATAAAAATCCGGCTTTCATTGTATTTATTCAGCCATCTGAAGGACTTAACTCGATTTTTTGCATCCACCAGAGTGTCTGGAGGGCTCCTCTCAAACAGTCTGCGGCTCTGAATGTGCATCTATTGTTCTGTTTATGAATCAGTCTGTGCAGATGTGCTTAAGCAACCTTCAACTCTTCCTCTTCACAGTTGAGTTCGAGCTGAGGAGAGAGATCCGCAGGCTGCAGGAATACAGGAAGGCAGGAATCAAGTCCTTCTGCAGTGAGTTGAGTTTGAAATTTTCACTTTTTGGGACCAAAAACTTCAAGTATAAACCTGAGTGTTTGTTTATGGTTCTCATATTCAGGACACTGGACACATTTAGTAAACATCCCTGCACTCTTATGGACATTTGAGAGAAAGATGTGATTTCTACAACAATTGCAGACACATTTTCTGAATACAGAGGAATTTTCCAATATAAATATCAAAAGTTATGTGTAGTTTTACATGTGTGGCTATTTAGGAATGATGAGCTGAGAATTTTTGGATATCCTAGAATCTCTGTACTCTAACAACACAATTTTTCTCTCTAAAAGAGATGTGTCTTAAATCTTTGTCCGACTTTAACAATAAATGTTGGGAAATGGCCTCAGTTATGAAAACGCTGCCTACACTGTTGAAGCAACAACTTAATCGTCTACAATCCAAAGGTCAAACTGTGTCTTCAACTGAAAATATTACACACACAAATTCAGATGAACTTTTGTCATTTTTCTTAATCTTCCTTTAACATTTAGTTTGTCTCCAGGGTTCAGTTGGATTTCTTTGGAGTTATGTATTAGAAAAGTATACAGGAAAGATTTTTGATTTACATGATGTTTGACCTATTGCAAAAGAAATTAATCAATTAACCACATGAGGAATTAAAATGAGCTCAATAATTTCCATTTTGATGACTGATATTTTTTTGAATGGCATTTTTGTTGACAGATTCATGGCATCCATTTTAAGTTTTTCATTCCTGTTTTTATTTATTGATTTTGGTTGTCATGTTTTATTTAGGATATTTAATGTTTATACCAATGTTTAGTGTCCTTTACAAAACTAAAGTTTATTAGTCTTGAACTTTCATTGCTACTCTACTGTTGACACTTCACTTAAAATGGCCTCAAAGAAACAATATTATTGTTTATCGCAATAATTACTGGGACAATTTATCGTCCAGCAAAATGTTATGGTGACAATATATATTGATATATATTGATGCTGTATGTATAAAAAAGTAACAGTATAATAAGCTGACACTTTTCTCAGTCTATGCTTTGTATTCTTGCCATTGGCAGGGATTTAAATATTTATTTCTATACTAGCTTTGTTTTGTTTTTGCTTCTTATGTTTTTCTTTACAGCATTACGTTTTTTCTTTTCTTTTCTTATTTTACTTGTGTAAAAAAAAGGTTAAAAATGACTGAAACATATAGATATATATTAAATAAAAACAAACCGAAAACATTTAAGGTGGCATTCCTTTGCTGGTTACTGTTGCATTAACCCGTAGGCAATGCATTGCACTGCTTTCCACTGTTGTCTGGAGCAGTTACCAGCTTGCTGTAGCTCCACATTTGAACTCTTCCTCGTACGTTTTCCATCCACCAGGTGCCAAGGTGTACGAGCGAGTGAAGAGGATGCGCGAGGACGAGAGGAGGAAGAGGACCATGCTGAATGACGTTCTGCAGTACATCCAGGATGGCAGAGCGTGTCAGCAATGGCTCAGCAAGCAGGCAGCCATGTGAGCGTCCAACGGGTCTGCGCGCTGATCTGCGTGTTATGCTGCAATAAGCCCCATCCCCACCTTAGCATGTGCTGCCATTTCAACACGTGCCACTCCGATTTCGTTTTGTTTTGTTTTGCTTCATCGTCGTCATTTCCACTGGCTGCAGTCCAACTTCCACCTCTAAATAAAAACTCTCAAATGGAATGACTCATCTTTTTTTTATTTTTTTGGATGACATTCTGGAGTGAGAGAGTGAGAGTAGTGAACAGAGAGGCTGCATAAAAGTGGGATGTGTGTCTGCATAAACACAGCAGCAGAGATAATAAGACTTTTTCTTCCTCCTCTTTGTTACAGAGATGCTGGCGTCACTCCAGCTGTCACAACAATCACGGTGTCAGGTAGGAAGTTTCTCTCCTAGTCTTCCTCTGCGCTCCATCCTCTGTGTCATCTCAGCGTGGCTCCAGGGCTCAGCCATAACAATAAAGCTTTTCTCCTTAAATACTCAAAAATACACTTTCGCACGCATATTTATTCTGCTCTTTCTCTCGTTTAAAATAGCATCGGTTTTCTTTGCTCCCAGAGCTTAAACTCCTACATCTCTGCATGTGCAGGAGTTGGCAAAACTCTCATGTCTCTAGACCTTTAGTTTTATTTAAATGAGACAGAATTTCCCAGATGGTATTGCAGTATTATAGATCTATTCAAGACTCTACTAGAGTATATGAAACTATGCTAAAATATGCTATACTATGCCATACAATGCTATATTGTGCTATAACATGCTTTCCTATGCTATACTATACTGCACTGCTACACTGTTATTCGATAGTACATGCTTAGTATATGCTAAACATATAGCATATACTATAAGTTATATGTATATAGCAAATACTCATAGTAGTTTAGTACAGCCTGGAGTGGTATAGTCTGCTATAGCTGGCTATACTATGCTATTCCATATTGCTATAAATATACTTGACTACATTATGTTATGCTATGTATCATGCTATGCCAGACTATGCTATGCTATACTATACTGTACTGTTCTATACTATGCTATGTTACATTATACTTGACTATATAATGTTATCCTATGCTATGCTATCCTGTATTATACTTGATTATATTATGCTATGCTATGCTAACCTATAGTAGACTATACTACCTATAGTAGACTATACTACTATAGGTCAGGCTATGTTCTACTATAATATAGTAGGCTATATAATGCTAAACTATGCTGTGCTACACTACACTAGACATATGCTTAGCATGGTACAGTATAGTTACTGTACCATGCTAAGCTAAGCTATGCTTAGCTTAGCTGTAAACCTCTGTGGTAGGTTTACAGAGCCTGTTGAGATAAGTCATATTTTATTACAGTAGCATATTGTGAAACTGAACATTTTAGAAAACAGTAAGCCTTAATTTCACCGCATTAAGTCAGTGGAGAAAATCACAAGTTACACAAGTTAAGAAATTATTATTTTTAACACAATCAACTGTGCTACTGAGCCATTTCATGCTTTGTAACATTTTGTTCCCCTGACAGTGAACAGTCTGTTGTCTGATGTTTAAAGCAGCGTTGTCGTGTGAACTGACTGTTTTAAACTTTGTTGCATGTCTGCTGCTCAGCAACAGGCAGGCGGAGCGCGCCTCCTCTCAACCTGACCGGACTTCCAGGGACAGAGAAGCTCGACGAGCGTGAGAAGGAGGTACGGCCATGACAGCCTCACACACTGCAGACGTCCAGTGTGTGGATGTCTGCAGTGTCCACACACTGGACACTGCAGAGGCCTTCTCTGTGATTTTTAAAACCCACCTGCTTCAGATACATTTAAATTGTTTTATGCCAAAATTTGCAATGTGCTTTTGTGGATATCTACAGGAGAAACTTTGAGAAAAGCTGCCAAGTCTGTCCCGGTGTTTGTCTGCATAGGCAGAATGGAGACTGCTCACTGTTTTCTGATGATCTAAGCCAAAGGTTTACCTCTAAATTTCCATAAAACCTTATCTGGTAATCATAAGAGGTTAGAGCAGCATTTTTCCAGGAGTGACCATGACCTCTGCAGCTCACCGGATAAAAGTAGCACATCCAGGTCTTTTCCTAGCCTAAAGAAAGATGAGATTTTACTCAGAAGAAAGAAATTGTCCCTTTATGTGAGACTTGAAGGAGATAATCATCAATAAAGACTCAGCTTTCTCTTTATCAGGAAATCTCTGTGAGCATCAGACTGTTTAACCTCAGTGAATTCGTGCTTTCAAAGCTCCTGTAAAAATTAACAAGTAGCTTCATTATTCAGTTAACCAACCCGAGGCTGCTATTGTGTTGCTCAGGAACATTTGCTACAAGAACTCCCAAGTTATTTGTTGCCATGGTCACCCGGAACCCTAGCGTTAATCTCAGTGATTTCATCTCTGGCTCATCTGCAGTCGGGTGTTAGAAAGGTTAGAAAGTTTTGTTCTGTCGCAGAAGCAACCTGTAGGGCCGAACTTCCTGATGCTGCCTAAATGTTTATTTCACCGTGACTCTCTGTGGATCTTTAACTTATACCTCAGTTAGTTTCATAACAGTGTTTTGTTGCACTTTAAATTTTGTTCATTGGGCCCTGCCATAGCAACACATAAGAGAGCATTGAAATGCCTACAAAGTAAGGCATTTCAACAAAAAAAACCTTTTTCACTTTTCTGAAAAATGAACCAACTGCACAATTCTTGTTAAGTAGTATACGATAAGTAATATTTCAAAAGAGGAGAAGAAATCTTATATTTTTAGAACAATAACAATATTTGTTGTTAATCTGTTGCTAAGAGATGAGCGCAATTTCTGGTAAACAAGTGCCTTGAAGTAAACATCTAATTTTTACTTTTGCAAAATTTATCAACTGTAAATTTCCTGTGTCTAAGCACATAAACAGTATTTCAACCGATCTCATGTTTTATAAATAATAATATTAAGAGATTACCTTTTTTTTCTGGTAACGAACTGCCACGAAGTATAAATCAGATTTTTA